GCTATGGAATACTGTTCAGGACATAGGCATGGGCAAAGACTTCATGACTGAAACACCAAAAGCAATGGCAACAAAAGCCAAAATTGACAAATGGGATCTAATTAAACTAAAGAGCTTTAGGACAGCAAAAGAAACTGTCATCAGAGTGAACAGTCAACCTACAGAATGGGAGAAAATTTTTGCAATCTAGCCATCTAACAAAGTGCTAATATTCAGAATCTACAAAGAATTTAAACAAATTTACATTAAAAAAACAAACAACTCCATTAAAAAGTGAGCAAAGGATATGAACAGACACTTCTCAAAAGAAGACATTTATGCAGCCAGCAAACATGAAAAAAGCTCATCATCACTGATCATTATATTCCTATATTCTAATAATAAACACAAGTAAATAGAAATTTAAAGCACAACAGAACTTATAATCAATCAAGAAACTGTCTAAATGCCTAAGCATACTTATAAAACATAACCTCTGGATGCTAAGTATTACAAAATGCTGAGGCAAGAAATCACAGATCCAAATAAATGAAAAGTTACCTCATGTTCATGGATTGGAAGACTCGAAATAGTAAAGTCATCAATTTTCCCTACATTGAGCTATACGTTTAATGTCATTCCCATCAAAATTCTAGCAAGATTTTGTAGACATAAATTTATGATAAATTTATACAGAATGTGGCAAGTTATGGCTTAATTAAACAATCTCAAAAAAGAAAAATAAAGCAGGAGGAATACCTCATGCCTGCTATACAGCTATTCAAGACAGTGTTCAATACAGTGTGATATTGGTGGAGGGATATAAATTAATGAAACAGATAAAGAATGCATAAACAGACCCACCACACAAATATGTTAACCAATTTTTAACACTATTAAAAATGCAATTCAATGCAGGAAGGATAATCTTTCCAACAAATGGTTCCAGGGCAACTGAACATTCATAGTCAGAGAGAGTGAGAGAGAATCAACTCTCACATCTTACATAAAATGGATCCCCAAAGAGGGCATGGAATTAAAAGTAAAAGGTAAAATTACAACACTTTTAGGAAAAATATTCAAAATTTTTGGAATTGGAATTTAGGGTTAGGTAAAGAATTTTTAGAATTGACACAAAGTGTATGATCTAAAAGGGAAACATGATAAACTGAATCGCATCAAAAAACTTTTGTTCTAAAAAAATCCAGTGAAGACAACAAATTAGACAAGCAACAGAGTTTGAAAAAATATTCACAAATCACATATCCAACAAATGGCTAGTATCTACAATATATAAAGAATTGAAAATTCAGCAGTTACAAAACAAAATAAACAAATCCAAACAATCCAATCAGAAAATGGAACAACAACAACAACAAAAACATGTGCAGATGTCTATCTCACTGAAAAGGATATACAGATGGCAAATAAGCATTATGAAAACATGCTCAGTATTATTAGACATCAGGGAGAGGCAAATTAAAGCCACGATAAAGACATTACTACATACTTACCAGAATAGCTAAAATATGCTGGCAACACCAAATGCTAATGAGGATGTGGAGGAAATGAAATCCTCATACACTGTTGGGGGGGAATGGTACAACCATTCTAGAAACCATTTTGGCAACTTTTTATAAAACTAAGTATGCTAAGTATGCAATTACCATATGGCCTACCAACTGCACTTTGGGGCATTAATGCCAGAGAAATGAAAACGTATGCTTGCATAAAACCTATATACAATGTTCATAAAAGCTTTATTCATAATTACCCCAGACTTTAAATGAACAACCCAAGTGCTCCTCAATGAGTGAACAAACTCTGGTATATCCATGCCACTAATTACTAATCAGCAATGAAAAGGAACAAATTACTGATATACACAACCATGCAAATGAATCTAGAGGGGATTACATGGGGTAGAAAAACCTCAATTACAAAGAGTACATACTATATAATTTCATTTACATAACACTGTTGAAATTTAAAATTCCCCATAGAAATGGAGAGCATATTAGTAGTTGCCAGGGGTTTTACACTGGTGGGTGGGAGGAAGGAGGGTGTAGGTGTGGTTATCAATGGGTAATAGGAGAAATTCTTGTGCTGATGGAAATACTGTGTGCCTTGACTGTATGAATGTCAGTATCCTCGCTGTGATATTGCACTACAGTTCTACAAGATGTTACCCTGGGGTGGTGGGGGATGGCTTACAGGCTACTCAAGGTTCCCTCTACTACATCTCACAAGTGTATGGAAATCTACAATCATCTCACAAAAAATTTTTAAAATTCTCTTTTCATAGGAAAATTATCACTGACTGGTTTAGAATATTCTATTTCTTGTGTTATTTTAGCACCTAGCCCAGAAGTTTCCAAAAGATGGCCCGGGGATTTTTTTTGTTAACAATTCCAGAGCCAGGGCTGCACTTCAGACCAATTAAACAATCATTCCTGGCTGTAGGACACAGTACACCAGCATCAGTACAATTTCAGAATCAGGTGTTACTTCATTTTACAGTGTAGTAAAGTATATGATTAAAGTTCCTTCTGATCTGTTTCCACTAGCAAGGCAAAGCATGTCAGATCTCTTATCATAAAGGAAATTTAGGCCATGTTATCCTCCCATTTCACCCCTGTATTAAACAGGAGCTCCAGAAATATAGGGTCCAGCTTAGATGTTTGTCTAAATTGAGTTTATATTTAAAATTCTCCAGTGGCATCTTTGCTGTGGCGGTCATAAGACACACAAATGAGGAATGCTTATCTATTGAGTATGTATAGAAAAGGAACACTGTTTTGTTCCTTGAGTAGTTTTACACAGTCATATTCTTTTCATTTTCAACCACTGATTCTCCAAATTAAAATGTTTTATTTTTGCTGTTTTAGAATAATCCTTAAGTCTAGGAATAAAGCCAAACAGGTAATAGCTAGTAAACACATTAATTAAATACTAGCCCTGTTGGGAGAATTTCCTTGCTGACCTGTGCAGTGTTCAGACTATGGACTAGTCCCTATGTGAGGTGCTTTCTCACTGACTCATTAGGGGCTCTGGTTTTCTGGTTCCATTAGATGTTCCCTCCCTGGCAGCTTGCTCAGTGTCTTCACTTTGCCTTGCATCCCTGGTTAACCAATCCAATATATTTTGTTCCATACTCCTGGCTTAGTTTTCTGTAACTATCTTTCTCACTGATTAAAATTCAACAGAAATGAACTAACAAATAATTAAGTTTTGTAATGCCAACTTTTAAAAGCTGAAGAACTGGGAATGAGAATTTATTACTTACTGAACTTATGTAGACTATCTCATTTACAAAAGAAACCCCGAGAGATCCATACTACAGGGTTCACTTCATCGAAGAGGAAACAGAGTCTGAGAAAGATTAACCAGCGACCTAAATTTCCACAGCTGCTAAGTGACAGACTTAGCATTTGAACTTCACACTGTGAATACAATGAGACCTTTGCTCTTTCTACTAGGCCAAATTGGCTGGCAGGCATCCAAAGGAGAGTCATCACCCTGGGAAGGGACTGAAGTACAAATTACACAGGTCAAGCACAGTGGGTAAGATTTAAGAATCTGAAAGGCAGACAGGGGTTGAGGGAATGGGAAGGCCATCCAGATAGTGGAAATGATCTGGCATATTCCAGGGGCTGATTGGCCAGGACAGATTAGGAAGCCAATGCAGGTATGGGTTGGTGGATCTGCACAAACCACCTTCAGGTGACAGTCATACAGCACTGCGGAGAAACATTAAGTTTACCCTGCCCCCATGGCTCTGTGGAGGATACCTTTTAGTTTTTAATTAGTAATAGGTGGGTACCAGCTGCCTACTTAGTATATTCCTGAGTTATGTGTAAATGTAGAGTGCCTGTGTATTAATAAGAATCACCTCTCAAAGAGCAAATAAATGCGTGGATGAGAATCTGCTCGGGCCTTCAGCCTGGAGAGCTGTCAGCCCAGAGGCTCTCAGGCAATTGGTCCCCAGGATAGATCCACTCTCTAGTGCCGTCTGCGTGTCTGCCTCTCAATACCTTCAGCGCCGCCTGGGTGGGGGTCTCCCAACCAAACCGGTACACCATTTTTCAACTTAACAAAAGAAAATTTTGTATTGAAAATTTAAGAGTGAAATTGATTTCAGTGGCTTTATTATGCTACTGACATATACTTTTTTGTTTGTTTAAGACAAGGTGTTGCTCTGCTGCCCAAGCTGGAGGGCAGTGGAGCAATCACAGTTCACTGCAGCCTGGACCTCCTGGGCGTTAGTGATCCTCCCGACTATATACTATTTGTGATTGCTAAATTAAAAAAAAAAAAAAAGGCAAATTTCAGTATTTACCTATAATAAGTAGTAACAAGTGCTTTCAAGAAACCATATGGAAGCTATGTTGGGGAGCAGTGGAGCGTTCTGCAAGGAACCTCAGGGATTCTGGAAAGTGGGGAGAAGTTGGCTTTTGACTTAGAAGAGGGTTTTGATGCAGAGTTTCCTAAAGATTACTTCCATTTATGAAGAGTGAGGTATACATTTCTCAAGATATAATTTCAGAAAAATGAGAGACCCACTGAAAACGTTTGTAATAACTCTAGTAATTATTTCATCCTAGACCAAAGTGACAGTGGCGGGGCTGAGGAAGGGCATATTGAAATAAAAGGGAGGAAACGACAGTTCCAGGTGGATGCAGAGGAAGACTTGGAGTCCAAGAGTAAGGAGGTTACTGGTTCCCACTGGTCTCCATGAAAAACTCTGTGAGACCCATCCTGCCCTACAGCCATTATCCCCACTATGAATGGAAAGCTAATTCATAAGTTATTAGTAGAATTTCCCTGGATAAAAAAGGACAACGCTGAGCGTCTCTCCAAGGTCAGGAGGGCGCTCCTGGTTGCTCTTTAGTCCAGCCAAGAACAAGAAGAGACAGAGACAGCGGTCAGGGCTTTGAACTAAGCCTTTTCTCCCTGGAAACGCATCTCGGGCCGCGCCCCCGAACCCGCGCGCCCCTGCAGCCCCCAACTGCAGCGCTTACCTCGCAAGTCCGGCCGCCGCGCCGTCCCGCAGCGCAGAGCCAGCCGCTGCTCGCAGCGCTCCGCCAGGCCCACCGCGGCCCGCAGCTGCCCCGCGCCCGCCGCGTACGCGAAGGAGGCCGCCGAGCGCGGGCGTCCGCTGGGGGCGCCTGGCACGGTCACCGCGTCGGGGCCGCCGTGCCGCACCACGGTCCACGCGGCGTCTGCTGAGCGGAAACGGGCAAAGGAGAGGCATCACTGGGCGGCAGAGGCCAGCAGGAAGGGGCAAAGCAGACGCGTCTTCTGTGCGAATTAACTTTTAATTGAAATTTGCATGACTGCACGTTTGGCCCGATTTGAGGGGTTGGACTCGTATAACAATGCACTGAGTCAGAAAGCCTCTAAGACAAAGCATATCAGGAGAGCTGATTCAGACTTCTGTGACGTCATGCATAAAAATATGTCATGTAAGCAATAACTTTTTAGTTGTTAAAACCATTTTTTACATCAGCTCAAGCATGGGGCTAAACTGTTACTGCCCGCACCTTTATCTTCATCTGCATTTTCCTCGTCTGTGTGTGCCTCCACTTCTCTCATTATCAAATACATTTTTAAAGGATACATATTGGGACGACGTGACCCACATACCCGGGTATAACAGGAAGCAGCTCAATTAAAATAAAGTGGCTTAATTGTGTCAGCTTCTCCATCAGTGACCAAGCCCGAAGGAATCACAGGCCTAGAGCTTCTAACAGTACTTTCCAGACGGTGACCCTCGACGTCTGACTGCCTGCTGACATAAATTCTGATGTATCTCTGTCACTTGATTAATTATATTGTTTTGATGAAATAAAAACAAAACGATTCCACAATCTCATAAGGGAAGAAGCACACCTTGAGTTATTTACTGTTCCCAACAATAGACCTCCCACCAGACTTGAAGTCGATTTAATTCTACTATGCTGGTGCTTGTCTGGTCCTTTAACCTCTAAAAAGACATATTTAGAATAATGGACATTTTACATAAAACCTTTCCAAACTGGAGAGACTAAGAAACATTCATATGGGGATTTTTTTTAAAAACTCTGAAGCAAAACAATGTAATACATTCTACATTGAGAAATCACCCTCCCAGCCCTTCACATCTCAGGATTTTTCATGGCTTGGGTGCTAAATGTGCATAAGACACATTTCACAGCCTTACTGTTAACGTACACACACCTAATAACAACAACAGAGCAACAGAGATCAGAGGAAAGAAGAACAAGGAAACCAGCTGTGCTATTGGAATATCTCTTTAGTAAAAGAACCAATGGAGAGCCAAGGTGTGATATCCACAAATGAGCTACAAGTAGAGAAACAATCTGCAAATTTAAATAATGAATGCAATTTTAAATTAAATTATCACTAGGCTCACTCTGATCACCAAAGGAGACTCTAAGTGTGCTTACAGCAATTTCAGTTCCATGGGTTCTTCCTTTAATATTGGTGTAAGTATTTTTTTCATTTTAGCATTTTTAGTTTACTTATTTTTGAGACAGAGTCTCTCTCTGTCACCCAGGCTGGAGTGCAGTGGTGCTATCTCAGCTCACTGCAACCTCCGCCTCCTGGGTTCAAGCAGTTCTCCTGTCTCAGCCTCCCAAATAGCTGGGACTACAGGCACACAACACTACGCCTGGCTAACTTTTGTATTTTTTTTAGTAGAGATGGGGTTTCACCATGTTGGTCAGGCTGGTCTCGAACTCCTGGCCTCAGATGATCTACCCGCCTCAGCCTCCGAAAGTGCTGGGATTTACAAGTGTGAGCTACAGCGCCTGGCCTCATTTTAGAATTTTCACCACCTTGTTACTCTGTGCACATCACCTACTCTCACCTTCAGAGTTTTCCTATCAACTGAATCAAATACAGAAAAACCTTTGGAGCACGAAGTTGGGCACTGAAGATGATCAATCACATGCCATTTTTGGCCATGTGTTCATATTTGTAGCACAGTGGGAGAGAAATCATGTTCCAGAGTAGTTCACATAGGCTGGTGGTCAGTATGACAGATTTGCAGTCACACATGGTTAAGGATGTAATAATAGAAATGTCCTCAGTACTCAGAAGGGAACTGTTGAGAATACATGTGTAAAACTGTTTTTCTGAAGAGAATAGTAACCAGGGACATTATAGGATATGCATTTGTGTTTATAAAATTCCACTTGACTCCCTTCTCCTTATAATATCAGTAGTAAAAGACCCAAAGAAAGATGCAGAACATCGTGGTTTCTCTGATACTCCCAATTTATTTCAATAGATTATAAGCACATTGGAACTGGGAAGGATATTAAAGAGCATCTAATATAACCCCTTTCTTTCTCTTTTTCTTTTTTATTAGAGATAGGGTCTCCCTCTTTTGCCCAGCCTAGAGTGTAGTGGCACCTTCATAGTTTACTGCAGCCTCAACCTCCTGGGCTCAAGTGAATTGGACCTGAGTAGATTAATTATAACAGTGGCTAAATGTGGAAAGAGGATCAGAGGTGTGGTTGAGTCAGAGACAACATGTGTGTTCTGACTCACTGGAGGGTGTCTCATGGCCCAGGAGGAGGGCAACTTTAATACGTTGATCCCTGTTCCACTCCTGCAGCTCAAATAAATATTCGACTTTGAAATTTAAGCTGGAGAGAGATAGCAAGGGGAGAAATGCCAGATGTAGGTGATGGGGAGGAAGGCAGCAAATCACACTGCCACATGTGTTCCTATGCAACAATTTTGCGTGTTCTTCACATGTACCCCAAAACCTAAAATGCAATAAAATAAATAAATGGGAAAAAAAAAAGAAATTTAAGCTAATTTAACTTCATGATTTTGATTGGAATCAGCAGTACAGATGTTTCTCAACTTATGATGAAGTTGCATCTGAATAAACTTATTATAAATTAAAAATGCATTTAATACATGTGACCTACTGAACCTAGCTCAAGCTGGTTCAATTCACTTAAATGTGCTCAGAACACTTAAATCACTCTACAGTTGGGCAAAACCATCTAACACAATGCCAGTTTTATAATAAAGTGTTGAATATCTCCTGTCATGTAATAACTATTGCACTGACAGTAAAAAAATAATGGTTGTATGGGTACTTAAAATAGGGATTCATATGGTTTTCAGACAGTAAAGTCGAAAAATTATAAGCAGAACCATTGTAAATGGGAATTGTCTGCACGTACATAATAAAATTTACTCAATATATCATATGAAATCCCCAGCATCTGGCGTACCCATTCCTATGTGCCCCAGAAGAAAAAAGAAGATCCACTGTGTTCTCTTGTCAGGAGCATACATATTAAGGTTACCTCTTTTTGGAGAGCTGACCCCTTCGTTTGTCTGAGAAAGTCGTTATTTCTTCACTCTTCAAGGAGAATTTCATAAGATAAAGAATTCTAAGTTGCTGGTTGCTTTTTCTCTCTCTCTCTCTTTCACACTTAAATGTCTCACTCCATTCTTCTTGCGGGCATGATGACTGAAGAGAAGTTGATGTAATATTTATCTCCTCTGTAGGTAAGGTGCTTTTTTCCTCTGACTATATTTAGGAGTTTGCTTTTACCTTTGAATTCTATAGTTTGAAAATGTATGCCTGATGTAGTTTTGGGGGCATTTCTCCTGCTTTAGTGTTCTCTGAATTTCCTGGATTTGTGATTCGGTGTCTGATATTAATTTGTGGAAATTCTCAGTCATTATTGCTTCAGATACGCTTCTGTTCCTCTCTTTCTTCTCCTAAAATTCCCTTTACATATACGTTACACCTTTTGTAGTTGTGCCACTGTACTCAGAAATTACGTTTTGGGTTTTGGGGATTTTTTTTTTTCAGTCTTTTTTTTCTCTTTGCTTTTCAGTTTTGGAAGTTTCCATTGAGACCTCTCCAAGCTCAGGGAGAGATCTTTCCACAGCTGTGCCTGGTCTACTGATAAGCTCATCAAAGACATTCTTCATTTCTGTTACACTGTTTCTGATCTTCAGCATCCCTTTTTGCTTCTTAGAATTTTCTTCTTGCTGCTTACATTGTTCATCTGGTCTTGCATGCTATCTACTTTGTCCATTATAGCCTTTGCCATATTAATTATAGTTGTTTAAAGTACTGGTCTAATAATTCCAACATCCCTGCCATATCTGAGTCTGTTTTTATTGCTTGTTCTGTCTCTTCAAAGTGTGTTTTTGCCTTGAAATTTTTTCTTTTTCTTTTTTTAGAGACAAGGTGTTTCTCTGTTGCCCAGGCTAGAGTGCAGTGGTGTGACCATGGCTCCCTGCAGTCTACAACTCCCAGGCTCAAGTGATCCTCCCACCTCAGCCTCTCAAGTAGCTGGGACTATAGATATGTGCCACCATGCCTGTTTTGTTTTGTAGAGGTGGGTGTCTCACTATGTTGCTCAGACTAGTTTCAAACTGGTCTCATGCTCTTCCCGCCTCAGCTTCTCAAAGTAATGGGATTACATGTCCAGCTGAAATTTTTTCTTGATAGCTAGATGTGATATACCAGGTAAAAGTAACTGCTGTAAAGAGCCCTGTAGTACTATAAGTAACATGCGTGGGAAGGGGAACGATTCTGTAGTCCTGTGATTAGGTCTGAATCTTTAGGAAGCCTGGGCCTCTGGGCTGTGACCTTTGCAAGATCTTCTCAGCCCTCCCTCCCATCACCACCCTGACATGGGACAGGATGGCTAGAGGTGGGTATTTTCCTTCCTCCAGTAAGTTAGGCTCTGGAAAAACAAAACACAACACCAGTAGCTTAGGTGAAATATCTTCCCTTGAGGAAAGACCTTGTTAAGAAGAACAGAAAGCTCTGGTATACTGCAAGATGGTTCCTTTTCACCTCGTCCTTCTGGAAGCATGAGGAGATTTTCCTCCAATACTCACTGTGAGAACCTGGTCAAGCTTCTAGGTGTAAAACTCACAGAACTGTGGTGACTCTTCTCTGACTAGGTCTTCCTGGAGTTTTGAATTCTCAGATGTGTTCACATTGAGCATCCAGCAATTTGTCAGTTAAGTTTAGGTTTTCCTACCTTGACCGCAGTTTCCCCGAAGGTTTTTTCTTGTGGAAGAAAGTTGTCATTCTATATATAAGCCTGCCTGTCTCTCCAGTTTTCGGGGGCAGTGGTTTCTTCTGTGACCTCACTTCTCTGCTGGATCTAAAAAAAATTTGCTGATGTTTTCAGTTTGTCCGGTTTTTTACTTGTTCTTTAGACAAAGTGCCTACTTCCAAGCTCCGAAGCAACTGCACATTTTACAATCATTATTGCTTGATTTGTACAACTAGAGAATATATTACTGGCAATAGAGCAATGCAGCATCTAAAGAGAAGGTGACCTTTTCTAGGAGAGAAAAAGACCAAAGTTTAGTGATTCCTCTATCGTTAGCTAGATTTTGTCAGTAGATACTTCCCTAACCAACTTTTCTGAGCCTTGATTTCCTCATCTTAGAATGATGACAACCAAGGTCCTTCCTGGTTGTGACTTTGGTTGAGTCTTTTGATATCTAACAAGACCATTTTTATGGGATTTCTCACTTTGGTTTGATTGTTTGAGTCGAGGGATTTTGGAGATAATTGGTATCTCATGGCAGAACGTCTGCGTCTTTATCTTCAGCACATGGCTGTGCAGGTGGATCTGAATCTTCTGAATTTCCCCTGTAAAGTTTTAATATTTTTTTTGGAAATCTTTGCTGAGGCATTTTAAATGCCTATGTAATTTCAGTTGTCTGTTGTTTTTTTTTTTTTCTTCTTGGTGCTTGCTGACTCATTTGTTTATTGTCCAAATTGATGAGACTTTTGAAACCTTTTGTCAGCACAATAAATGAGAATTGTTTATTCCAGATTTCCACTTTCTGGAGAGTTGGAAGAGCTAGGTGACAACAAATTTCTGTAAAAATCTAACTATTTAAGTAATAGGAATTATTTAAAGAAAATTAAAGGAATTCTACTGCAATCTTCTATTATCAAGCTATGTTCATTTCTAATAATACCTAAAGCCAGAGAAATAATCAAATTTCTTTGGTTATGAAAAAATTATATGCCATACAAATCACTAAATTATTTAAGATGCACATAAAACATTAACACACATATATGTTATTTCTTAGCACTTTTAAAGACCTCTGTTTTTTCTAAATATAGAAAATATGTAAATCGCAGAATCAGAGGTTTCCATTTTATCATGATGCACATGAATAGATGTCTTATGAGGAATGTAGGAACTAGAGAGATGCCCCGGCAGAGCATTACATCTTGCCTATAATCCAACACAGTCAAACAAGAAATACAAGAAAATTTTGTTGACAACAAAATTAACAAATACACATTTAATGCCTCTACTTAGCAAATACACACTATCAAACTGCATGTTTAATAATGCTGCCATCTAGGTAAATTTCTCCTTGGTCTACTCTGATATATGCATCTAACGATTATCAACATACCTGTCATATTGCAGTACACAAGAAATGGTCCCAGGGGGCCACTTCCATCTGCATCAATATAGTAAAGCCCAGACGGGTTTCCTCGGTGCTTGTGGGCTTCACAGGACCGCTCATAGAGGGCTGTAGGAGAACACCAGCCATAAGAACCAGAAAAAATCTCTCCAGATGTAGAGTCAGTGTCCAAAGGTTTGTATTTCTGAATTACAGACATATGATACATATGACCCAATATCATTTTTATAGTGTACAACAGTATATTTGATGAGATGCAAGAAAAATGACATTTAAAAAATTAAATTTATTTTTATTAACAAAGGAAAAGAAAATTACCTAGTCAAAATACAACTAAATGTTGGATGTTGTTAGATGCTGAATAAATATTCAGTATACAGTGTATTTCTGTTTTGAGGAAGAAGGAAAGATTGTGTTGATGTTCAAACATGAAGATGTGGTTACAGTGGGAATTGTCAATAGACAATCTTTTGGCAATGGCTAGAGACTGTACTTTCTGTACATAATTTTTTTTTTTTATTTTTAGGTAAGAAAGCATGCAGACTCTGAAGCACAGTGTAAAACACTTGAAGAGATATGAGAGGGAAGGCTTGTGAATCTGAATCCTGTGTGCTGTTGAAGCATGGTTCTTTTCAAGGTGGCAACTATACTTCAGAATTAAACTCTATAATTAAAGAAGAAACCCTCATTTCACCTGTAATAACTGAATGCCTGAGCCCATTAGTTTTAAACTGCCTAAATAATCTGGTATTTTCCGATAAATATTCTGTAAAGTTTTTCTTAAGCTATGCAGCAATTACACCCTTCGCTTGCTTTAAAACAACCTATGAATGAGCATTTTAAAGAGAGAAATAGAATTTATACGCCATCAACTTTTCTTCATTAAAAAATAATTAAAGTTGATTTAAAAAAAAAGAAAAACTTCCCTAAGTATTTTGCAAGTGACAATTCAAGATAATTGAAATTCAAAGCAAGAGAGAAACTTTTTGAAAGATATTCCCTATATAATGTAAATTTACTCCGAAATAATTGAATATTTTCATTTGTGCAAGTAAATGTTTTACCAAGCACAAAGTATGGAATTAATATCTGCAGGAAATGGACATTGACATTATTAATCTTTATTTTTCTTTTGCCACTTGTGGCATATTGATTTAAATAGATACATATATTTGTAAATGTCTGGTAGAATTCACTCAAATTAATAACAATGCTTAGATATAGGGTACAGGTTTGGAATGGGGACAAATATTGAGGAGGTGACTAGAACTTGTGCTTTATGTGAATTGGTTGGCTTTTTAAATGATAATGTATACATATATTAATGTATATCATGTATTAATTATATACAATTGATTTTATATTTTAATTGTATATAATTACCCACAATTAGTTATATGCAATTAATAATTATATACAATTAATTAGTTGTACATAATTGATACATGTTATACAATTAGAAATACAAAATAACCTATTCAACTAGGTGTGGCAGTCTGGTCTCACATTCAATGACTATGGGCTTGGCAAATGTCTACCTTTAGCTTGGACAACAGTCAACTCAATTATTAGATCAGACTGACACCTGAAATACTTTTTCAGTCTCCTGATATTTTCCCTCCGAATTTTTTGGAGTTACATTTTGATTGCAGCGAACAACCATGAACTAATATAACCTCATTCATTAAATGCAACATGTAAGAGATGATACTGAGTGTCGTGGTGGACATAAAGTTGTCAGGTAATACACAGGATCAGGCATCTGCTTTTGGGTAGGATACTATGCCTGGAGAATGGAAGACATACCGAAGTAAAAGATCTGGTGTGACCTTATCAAGACATTTAGTCTCTGGTCTGAGAGGGCACTTAACTCCTAGAAAATATGTCATGGCTTTATAAACAGGGATCTTTCTAGTGCAAAAATCATACTTCACACTTCAGTCTGTGAGAGTCGGTCCTGGACTGTCTCCCCTTTTGCCCAGGTCTTTTGCAGAACCTCAGCTGGGGTTGCAGAATTCTCACTGCACTTCCTTTGCATGTGTGAAGTGAGATTTGTAACACTCTACACCCTGCCTTTCTCCTATGGTTTTTGTGAAAATCAAATTAAATTTGTCTCACGGAAGAGTTCTTGAAAGTTTCAAGCAGGACCTCAGGATGAGCAAGTGGAACTGAGGACTTTGCATCTTGCTCTGTTTCCTTGAAGACCCAGAGATGGGCAAAATATTCCTGAAAAGTTGCTCAGAAACATCGGTAGAGAAATACAGGAAGAAAACTGTAAAAGCTAAAAACATTAAAAAGATAGGCTTTTCAGGATTCTTTGATGTTCTAATTGTAACAGATTAGAGGTCAGTAAAATGGCATGGCCTTTGAAATTCACAGAGGATGATTCTTCAGTAAAGACAGATGATTTTTAATATGGCAGAGGCAGTTGAGAAGTGTTAGAATATGCCATCCCTTAGATGTTGTTTACACTTAAATGTCCACCAGAAGTACGTGGAAGGTTGGTTACCACAGACTCGGGGCCCCATCTCCAGCAGTTCTGATTCAGTAGGTTTTGGTGAGGCCTGAGAGTCTGTACTTGTGAAAGGTTCCCAGTGGGTGTGGATACTGCTGGTACGTGGACCACCATTCAGGCATTCTGGAGCCAAGACTGTGGAGCCAACCTCCTTAGCTCAACTCATGGAGCCACAAGCTAGCTGGGGATCAAGTTACTTAACCTCTTTCTGTCCTCAATTCTGCAAGGAAGACAGTAAGAGCACTTTCTTCCCTGAGCTGCTATAGGGTTAAACAAGTTAATATATGCAAAGCAATAGCAGAGGGCCAGCACAAGTACTCAATACATTAATACTTTTACAATTATTCACTTTACAATCATCATCACCACCACCAAAGAAAATCACAGTCAGAGGAGACCTTAAAGGTCCTCTAATTTCTAGAAATTAGAGAATGATTGCATCATCCCCATGATTGTTAAAAAAAATCTTTAAATACCTTAAATCATGGGATTTGACAGGTGGCAAGGGATTGTTTTTCTACCTTTCTTTGACTGAAAAAATTCTTAGAATTAAAAGTATGGTCCAACTCAAGTAATGGAACAAGGTACATCATGCATTTTTAATTTAATTGGGTCTCTACCTTTTACTATACTTGATTTTCCTAGACTTATTTCCCCATTGCTTGCCAGCTGCCTTTTTCAATCCTATTCGTACTACATATTTCTATGCACTATCTCAACACCCTTGTATTAAATAAGGTGGGTTAAAAATAAACTAGAAATTAATTGAGTGATGAAATATCTCTTCTGATGTGTTTGCATGATTGCAAATATGCAGATATATATAAACAACTAATCAAAATGAAATGACAAGGAGATGCTGACAGAAATGAGAGGGAGGCGTGAGACTTACAGGAATGGCAGGTCTCGCCCGTATAGCCTGTGCCCAGACAGTCACAGGAGAAGGTGTCCCACGACTGGGAACACTCGCCCCCATGCTCACAGTAGCTGGGCAAGCACCTAAAAGAAAACAGATACAACTGCTGTTTCCCTTTTGAAATCGTTAAAAAATTAGTGTCTTACCAAAAAGAGGTTAATCTGAAAGAGCAGCATATGCAAGATAACCACACATAACATGATGGTTGGGTCTGCCATCAAGGTTCTCTAATTATAGTGACAAACTTTAAATAAATATATCCATTAGCATGTAGCTGATTATTAGGTATCTGTGACAGCTGAATTGTCGACATATCCCTTTTTTTTGTTGTTGTTCCAAGTGACACAATGATAACTTCACGTGGCCAGCAAAACCAATCACATACATAAAATTATGAAATATGGCATGCTCCATTACTATATTATGGTCATTTTTAAAAGAAAGAAGGGGAAACAGGGAGGACAATACAGAGGGGAGGAGAAACACGAAGAGCTTCAGTCACATAGTGACAGAGGTTCAGAAATTTTGAAGAACATTTAATTTAGGTCATGTTGTTTCACCTTTTAGATTTAGAATGAGCAATTGGTTATTGCTTTTTAAGGACTCTTAACACTAGTAATATGTCAATACTACCCAAAGCAATCTACGATTCAATACAACTCTTATTAACATCCCAATGCCTTTTTTTGCAGAAAATAAAAATTCATCCTAAAATTCATAGGGAATCTCAAGGGACTCTGAACTAGCCAAAATAATCTTGAAAAAGAACAGAGCTAGAGGTCTCACACTTTCAGAGTTCTCTGGAGTCTGCTGCCACCCACTATAATATTGGGGGTTAGCCTGCCTGCCTCTCAGGATGGTTAGGGGAACAGGGAGGAGGGTACACTATGGAAGCTGACCAGCACCTGGCACAGACTGGAGGCTTCACCAAGAGGTAGTGTGACCTTCTGGAAGCCTGACCTGAATACCATAACCCACCTCTGCCTTGAGCAGGGTTGGAACTCAGCCTCTGCTGGCTGTCTCCCACTGCTGAGCACATAGCTGAAGATCTGATAAAGAGTGAAGGTTCTAAAGGCCACCGACCTTCTGGGCCGTGAGGGATGCCATAGTCCATGCTGGAGCAGCAGAAGGGGTGAGTGCCCAAGTGCCCCTTGCCATGGGGCCCAGAGAAGTAGCAGGAGAGGGGCTGGGAAGTTGTGACAGGCCTCCTGGCTGTGGTGGGAGGACGACCAGCAGACAGCTGGGTATGAAGTTGACAGAAAGCCCCAGGGGTCTGTATTTGGTCTCTGGAGAGATCCTCTGAGGGGAACCTGAGGGGCTGGGGAAGAAGAAACCATAGCATTCCCCACCCTGCCCATGCCCACAGAGCTCCCATCCCAACTCTCCAGCAGTGCACCACCAGCTCAGGGCCAAGACTTCCATTAATTACATGGTGTTAATGAGCATTTAGTCTGCATTTAGAGAAGAGTTAAGGGCCATCAGAATCACAACTTTTCAAGTATTTCAAAGGCCAAGGCATGGAAAAGCCTGTGTGAACTGATCTAAAGAGGGAGAGCTGGAGAGACAAGCAAGAATGGGTGGGGTGGGGGCCCACCATTTTTTAAAAAGCAGCTGTTCCTCTTCCCCCACATCCTCCTCTGCCTCCCCTTCCTTTTTAACATAATGGAGAATCTTAAGATCATACCTGACTTGAAGATTCCACAAATTAAAAAAAAAAAAAACATTAAAAACCACTGCTGTTTGATATCAACAGGGTGAGAATAATTTTAGTTCAAAATATTTCAGAATAGGAACTGTTTAAGTGATCCAGAGACTATCAACAAGTATACACTATTTTTCTCCAATTAAACACAACATCAATTATGAAAAATTTACATGTAGTACAAATAATAGAGGAAGTAGCTAGCAGGCAGAAGACCAACACAGGAGATTTCAGAGTGGGGTGAGCAGCCTGGTCAGCACAGCCAGGTGAGGAGGTGACGGAGGCCTCCCTGTTCAGGGAGCCCCAGATGGAATGCGTCAGAGGACCCCATTGGAAGCTCTGCCATGTGGTATACAGGGCGAACCTTAAGAGTATAGGAGTCTCATGTAAGAAGTTAAAATCTATCCAAACATAAACATCCATTATTTGTGACTCTGTCATCCAAAGTGCCCATTGCTATTTTTTGTGTAGCTTAAAATTTTGATTAAAAAAGATAACTTTATACCCCATATCTGTTCCTAAGTAGGATTTTTAGGTTTGGTATTTGAATAACATATGTTTCTACTTTGCGGATTACTGATATGGTTTAGCTGTTCCCCACCCAAATCTCATCTTGAATTGTAGCTGTCATCATTCCCACATGTCATGGGAGGGACCTGGTGGAAGGTAATTGGATCATGGGGGCAGGTTTTTCCCATGCTGTTCTCATGATAGTGAATAACTCTCATGAGAGCTGATGGTTTTATAAAGGGGAGTTCCCCTGCACGGTCTCTTGCCTCCTGCCATGTAACATGTGTCTTGCTTCTCCTTCACCTCCTGCTGTCCTTGGGAGGCCTTCCCAGCCATGTGGAACTGTGAGTCCATTAAGCCTTCTACCTTTATAAATTACCCAGTCTCAGGTATGTCTTTATTAACAGTGTGGAAACAGACTAATACAATTACAGTGTTTGTTTGTTTTTTTTTAATAACAACAAAGGCTAATAGATGCTTACAGGCCTGTTTTCAGGATGCTTAAAAGTGAATTTTCAGTATTTTCAGAATTTCAAAACTGAATGTAAAGGGAACAGCAAAGGCCTTTAATTTTAACTGTAGAATGTCATTTTGTGTCACCAAAGTTTTCTAATTTTACTGCTATTAAGGTTTTCAAAAAAAAAAAAATCTCACAGGAGCTAGTCTTCTACATTACTGACTTTGGGAATAGCCTTCATTTGTAGTCCTATTTGAAAATAATTTTAAAATGCTTCCTTAAACCCCTTATCTGCGATGATTATTGTACACATCGTGGCTGAAATTTAACTGTGGCTCACATACACATGCTTAGTTGAGCATGTTTGTAAGTAACTTTGGGGTGCAGTTTGGGAGCCTTTTTAAAATGTGGGATCTTAGAGACAAAGTTAAGCACCAGTGTAACTCTTGGGACTTTAAGGTTAAAACAAAACCGCCTGTAACAGTAAATACAATAGTTTTGTACTTTGGGAGCTACCTGCACAAAGAAGGCAACCTTGGGATATATATCTCATAACAGATATAGTGCAAATGGATCACATTTTGTGAGTAATTACCAAGATATCAAAATAATGTCTTACGAGTGGAGAAAATCACACTTGCATCACAGCTGAGCTGACAGCTATCACTCACAGTGTGGGCCCATGGGACATTTCCCTGTAACCCTGGGAGAGCTGAGCTCCCTGGCTAGTTAACTGAACAACCTGGGATTATATTAAGTGAACAAATGGCCAGAAATCTTCCCACTACCCTCCCCATGACTACAGAGTGGGATTCTGAAGCTGGTGTTGAGATGTAAATGCAGTCCAGCTGTGTGCCAAGAATTTGAATCTCAAGGTCAAGAGTGAGAGGTACTTGACAAATTCTTACTTCATATACTCCTCATCTTTGAATTAATTCATTTTTCCTACAAATCAACAGAATGTTCACAGGGGGAAATTATTCTGTGCTGAATAAAGTACATATGCATGAACTTTTCATTTAGTAGGAAGTACTTTTTTTTTAACATGTCACTACCTATGAGTTATAAATTAAAACCTGTTTAGACAGAGATAATAATTTTACAGTTAATGTTTAAAGTAGAATTGACTACCAGAATCTACTCCATGAAGACAGGTTTTGAAAGATCTACCAGGTGTGTACATAACTTTTTAATTTTTAAATCTGTAGCATTTATTTATTCACTGAAAGTAAATACCTAATGTACTAAGGCAAATAGTATGCAGAAATGTTGTTTCTGGGTGTGACCCTGTGATTCTTCTCAGCCAAAATCATTGTAAAATTATGGCACAACTAGCATGACTTAAAGTCAAGTTGTAATACTTAATTAATTAAATGTTTTTCTTGTCTGACCTCCATATTTCATTGAGTATGTCCTTTGGCACATATCTTCATCCATCTCTATGATTCAAACTTTTCTAGGAGAGATTACTTTTTATTTTCTCTGCAGAACATGTGGGGTTGGGTGGCTGATGAACAGTAACTTGTCAAATTCCTCTGCCTGGAAATATATCATCCAACTGATGGGTGTGTGGCTGTAAAAGTGAGCTTGATGACTATTAGCTGAGCAACTTGGGATTATATTAAGGTAAAAGTTATAAGATGTACGTCTTCTAATAAAACACTATCATTTGAAAAATGCTACTTATTCCATTAGAGATGGAGTTTTCGAATCCTCATAGTAATTATGAGTATTCATTCCCTTTGGAAAGGTAACAGAAAAAAAGAGAGAGAATGGAATGCCTTTTTCCAACTGTCCACGTTTGCTTTCTCAAACTTTGAAAACAAGCATGCTAAAGTGAGCTCGGATGGTCCTTACCTGTCTGTGATGCCACAAGAGTCTATCTGGAGATCCCTGAAACTCCCCAGCGCCCCCTGCTGTACTGAGATGGGATCCACTGCTTTGTCACCAATGGTGATGTGCCTTAGGCAGCCCTGAAACCCTCCCAGGGGGCTTTTACATTCAGAGCCAGAGCTGTTGTCCAGGCAGCCTGAATATGGAGACAAAAATAAGACAAAAACAATAACTAAGACAAAACTCTTCCACAGTATTTATTATACGAAGACTGATGCTCCCCCTTGTTTATGGACATCGGTATGATGAGATGAGCTTCCCCATTCATTAGAAAGGTGAAAAGGTTAGAACTGATTCAATTTAAGATAATATCTGGAATTCAGAATAAGAAACTATGGTGGGGGGAATTCAGATTTAAAATTCCTTAACGGGAATTATTGCCCAACTAAGTGAAGACAGGTTTGGCTTCTGTGAAACCTCACCTAAGAAATAATCATGCATTTTAGCATCATAAGTGCAAAAAATTAAAGTGGAGGTTAAATTAAAATAACTGAAATCCTAGCCCAAATTTTATTTAGGATATGCTGGATTTATGAAAAATGCTACTTAAAAATATAATTGTTACTATCATTTATATAAAATATGTTAAATATTTACCCTAAAGGCGTTTTTGTGTGTTATGATGTTATGTGTATTTAGGAGTATTTAAAAACATATTTTATTATACTGACTGGATGGAAATACCTAGAGTTGCTTTTCTAGTAACATTTTCTTTGGTGTTAGGTGCTTTATTCAAATATATAACCAAAGATTAAATTCTAATGTGTACAGCAACACAAAAAGTAACAGTTACTAAAGTACACTGTTATGGTACATAATGATAAAATTTGCAGTCCAGAATGTTCTATGAATAGAAAGAAATAAAATAGACATTTGATTATTTCCAATATTAGAAGTTAAATATTAAAAGTTTCACCACAACCATCAGCTAATTTCACCTAAATTACAAATAGCAATGCTTATGACGTCATTTCCCTTTATGCTGTGGGCTTGTTTTGTGAAACGAGAACAGTACTTATAAGAAGTAGTGGGGAGGGCATGACTTTGACTTGAGCGCTATTACTCCACCTCAGTCCAAGCATATAGGAAAGTAGTGTCTTGAACTTAACTCCCACCCTCCGTAAGTTACAGCTATAACCTGATAATGGAACTCTAATTCAAAGTTTGAAAAATAAGGAAAAGGATAAAAGTACACACTCTTGTTAAAGATAGAGAACATAATAATTGTAAAATGTCTTTTCATTTAAAGACAACTGTTTATAGAAAGAGTCATCTTAATTCAGAATAAATTATAAGGCATTAGTCTAAGTCAGGAGCCTGCAAAGGTTTTCTGTAAAATGCCAGTTAGTAAACATTTTAAGTTTTGTGGGTCACACCTGGTCTGTGTTGCATATCCTTCTTTTTTTTTTATAACCCTTTAAAAATACAAAGCAATTATTCATTTGAGCTTAAATAATACAATGCCAGGGACCATGATTTGTCTACCTCTGATTTAAATGAATACTTAATTTTAACATACAAATGTGAAAGAGCCACCTCATTTCATTATGGCTTAATGCTAAAAGCAATATAAATTGAATAAATAATTAATTGTATATTATGAAATTATAGCTTTTGAAAAATTTTATCATTTGCCTTATTTTAAAAAAGAAGCTTGCTTATATTGATTCTGTAAGCAATGTTTCTTTCAAACTTGTGAGATATAATTTCTTGTCTTTTCCCAATCATTCAAAAATTAGATATTAAAGAATGATCATAGTAAATGTACATCAATATATATCACTTGAGACTTGAGTTTTCTTTATACTGTTTTTGATTAAAATGAAAAAAAGTGAAGTATAGAATTTGTACTTGTGTATTTTTCATTGACTGATCTCTCTCTTTGACCTTATATCATGTTTTTTGCTTTTTGTTGTTTTTTGAGACAGAGGTTTGCTCTTGTTGCCCAGGCTGGAGTGCAATGGCACGATCTCTCAGCTCACCGCAACCTCCACCTCCTGGGTTAGTTGATTCACCTGCCTCAGCCTCCCGAATAGCTGGGATTACAGGCACCCACCGTCATGCCCCACTAACTTTGTATTTTCAGTAGAGATGGGGTTTCTCCATGTTGGTTGGGCTGGTCTTGAACTCCTGACCTCAGATGATCTGCCCTACTTGGCCTCCCAAAGTGCTGGGATAACAGGTGTGAGCCACCACGCTCAGCCTGACCTTAAATTGTTAATCACTACTACAATTTAAAAAATAGACGATGAAGATTCCTCTTACTGGAATCAATGAAGTACCTTTCAATGCCTGTACTCTTATCTCCTCCCTAAAAGTCTCCATAAAAATTAAATGTTATGTTTAGAGTTCTATTTTAGTAACTGAAGCTTTATTTCTTTAACAATTTAATACTTTCTGCTTTAAATTCCTAAAGTAAAAGCCTCCCTCATATTTAAGACTTCTTTTTAGCTTACTGAAACTTTATACATGACCTCAAAGAGACTTGGAAGTTTAAAATTTAACACCATATTTTTTAAAAGTTTAAAGACTAAAATCTTTTATATTTTTATATTTTAAAAAGAAACATAAGTTTAAATGGTATAGCAGAACCTTCTGAAGAATAGGATAAAGAGTGAACTTTGTATAATATTACTTCATCTCACTAATCATTGAGATGATTAAACACAATAGGTTAAGAACTAAGAGGATATCAATTTAATAAATATTTTGAGTAATGAATTTTAGGAATATCGGTAGTTCTGCTAATCTTTCTTTCACCAAGTGGTGTTTCCTGACACATAACTTAGGTTATTCTTAAATAAAATGAGTTCAATAATTCTCTTAGAAAAAAAAAAAACTAAAATAAATCCAGGTGTCCCCCCAAAAAGTTATGAAACTTTCAGGACAAATTCTATTCATAAAGTACCATATGTTTTTAGATATGAAATTGAACAAATAAAGATATTAATATAAGACCCATGAAAATGTTAGTCCCGGTTATTTTTATTTGTGTAAGCATATGAGGTTGGCAGGAAAAAGTGTCACTGTGTGTTACTGCAGTGACAGACTTCAATGCAGGGTTGCCACAAGTTCTCGGTCTAGCAACTTCCTACCAGGAGGATGTGAGGACTATCCGATACAGCAGTCAATTCAGCATTCTCAATATCATGGAAGGAGGTATGCTATTGAATAGCAGAAAGATTTCATAAAGGAACTTTAAAAGCATTTGACATTCAGTCAATCTCTATTTCAGGAATGAAGGCAAAAAACACAGGCTATATACACAACTTGCAACTGTAGAATACTGCTTGAAAACACTTCAGAAAGGTGAAATCTCAGACAAGAAAAAAAAAAAGAATGGACAAATGACAGTCCAGAAGATAAGTCTGCATCTGCGAATTAAGCTTTTTTTTTTTTGAGATGGAGTCTCACTCTGTTGCCAGGCTGGAGCACAGTGACACCATCTCAGCTCACTGCCACCCAGATTCAAGTGATTCTCCTGCCTCAGCCTTTTGAGTAGCTGGGACTACAACCGCTCACCACCATGCCCAGCTAATTTTTTGTATTTTAGTAGAGATGCGGTTTCACCACGTTGGCCAGGATGATCTCGATCTCTTGACCTCGTGATCTGCCCATCACGGCCTCCCAAAGTGCTGGGATTACAAGTGTGAGCCACTGAGCCTGGCCTAAACTTTCTATTAAATAAATCTTTTGAGATCCAGAAATCCACATCCAACAGGGCTTTGTTCCAAGTCTTTCTCTCAAGCTTTCTTTGGTACAAATAACATTTCCCATTTATTTGACATTAGGAAGTTAGTGTTTTGTTTTGTTTTTTTCCTTCTTTTTCTTAATTTGTTTGCATTAACCTGACTACCCATGGTCAGAGTCAGCAGGGCAACATTAAATTGAAAAAAAAAAAAAAAAAAAAATGTCCCCACACAATGACCTGGGAATGAAGACCAGTAACTCAAAAGCAGAAGGCTGGTCCCAAAACATCAAACTTCTGCAGTCTCAGCTTCAGGTGACGAAGGCAGCTCTCACTTAGGCAAAAAGCCACAGGGAGAAACAGTGCAACTCTTGCGCCAGTCATTGACTGGGTCAGATGACCTGCAAATTGGGGAGACACTACCGCATGCAGCAGCTGGGCTGGAGGATCCTGCTCCCAGTGGCTTTCTGCAGGGGACGTGGTGATTATGATCCTGTTTCCTAATGACTATGAGAAAGTAGTGAAGCACCAACTTCACTGCAACGAATGGCAGACACAGCAGGAGCTCGAAATACGAAAGGAAATAGAAGAAAGGGAGAAGGGGCCTAAAGCCAGGCCAGAAGCTAGGGGGGTTCTGATCAAGGCGACCAGATCCAGATTCTGGTGAAGACGAAGATTAGGAGCCGGAGGAAGTAGAACGGAGCTGCCATTGCCTCGCCCACTTCTCTGGTAGACAAGGAGTCACCCAGAGATTTTCCTTATGAAGAGCATTCAAGGCCTTAATCACAGTCTTCCAAAGCTGCCATTCCTCCCCCAGTGAAGTTGGAACAGGACAGACCACGATCTCCAAATCGGCCTAGCAGCTCCTTCCTCGCTAAAGTGGTGGGAACTGTGGCGCACACCATCATGCAGAAGCCAGGCTTCCGGGAAGGCCAGGGCCCAGGGGAACACGAGCAGGGGCTGCGCCCCGCCTTTCCGGTGCGGAAGACCAGTAAGCCTGGCAGCAACATCATCATGGACTAGGCCGCAGAGAAAGACGCTTTCAAGAATCAGGTACAAATCCACTGACAGAAATACCTGTGTCCTACTGAGGTGCTCCTACTAAGGAACGCGGTTGGTGCAGGGGAGGCGGATGAAGACTTGGAAGTTGAAACCAGGGAAGAATGAGTAATGACATATTTTTCTGTTCATATGGTTTCCTATAAGACAGAGCACCATTAAGGATCAAATAAGGGAAACTGAAAAGAGTATAATCTAATTTTAATAATGAGTTAGTTTTATTGTTAATTTTCTTTTTCTTTTCCATTGTCAATTTATATTGGCTCAGAGAAAACAGGTTGGATGTATAAAATCCACAGTACTTTCCAATTTTGCCATGAAAAATATGGCAAAGTTGGAAAATGTGTGATATGTGAAATTCTTGGTGCACTTGATGATGAAGCAGTGCAGACATTTTTAGAACCTGAGAGTTGAGTCAGCAATTAAAGCTGTTGTTTACTTGAATAGAAAGTATTTTGGTGTACAGGTGGCAAGAGCATGTTTTTACAATTTGGATAAATTCAGGTTCTTGGATTTGGTGGAACAAGTTTGATTTTAAGAACTAGAACATGAGTCATTGACAGTGATCTTTACTTGACCTGCAGGCTGAGAAAAGAAGGCAAAAGGTCACAGACTCCATGGCTGTTGGAGACTGAGACTCTTGGAAAGACTTCCAAGGTATATGTTGATTGATCCCTTTTCATTTTGTAGTTTTTAAATATCATATAAAAATCCTTTTAAACAAATAAATAAAATGTACGCTTGACTAGTTTCAATCATTGGTTGATATTATACTATAGGACTGAAGTTAGTGTCTGCAGCTGCATGTATTTAGGCCATTCTAAATATATAAGCTACTTAGGAAGAAAATACTGTGGACTTTATCCATCAAGCCTGTTTTCTCCAGGCCAATATAAAACAAATGGAAAGGAAAAAGAAACATAATAAAATGAACTCATTATTAAAACTGGATTATAGGATTAATTTTAATCTTTTCAGTTTCACTTATTTGATTCTTCGTGATGCTATGTGTCACAGGAAACCATATGAACAGAAATATCCCAAGAATTAAATTTGCTGAGAAAACAGAAAGGGAGTCTCTTTCAATGCAGTGCACAGCATTCAAGAGGAATCTGAGTCATGTGGTCTTTAAAGTACTGAAATGAGTAATGAATACTAGCTGAACAATATAGCTCTTTCTATGTGAAGAAATGATCTATTTGGGGTTTATATGCATCAGTAAAATTTAACAACCAGCTTATGCTGTTAAACATGGTGGTTAGAGCTGGTGTTTCCCAAAGTTTACCACACAAATGGGTAAATAAAGTTACAAAAGCACACACAAGGATGCAAAATTCACTGGAAAAACTAGGTATGTTAAGAATATTCAAAAAACTAAATTTTAAGCTAAGCATGGTGGCTCACACCTGCTTAATCCCAGCACTCTGGGGGACTGAGGTGGGCGGATCACTTCAGACCAGCCTGAGCAACATAGCAAAACCCTGTCTCTACAAAATGCAAAGAAAAACAACAACAAAAATGGGCTGAGTGTGGTGGCACAGGCCTGTAGTCCCTGTTCCTCTGGAGGCTGAGATGGAAGGACTGCTTGAGGCTGGAGAGGCAGAGGCTACAGTGAGCTGTGATTGCTCCACCGTACTCCAGCCTGGGCAACAGAGTGAATCCCTGTCTAAAAATCAAGCAAAACAACACAACAAACACCACCTCCCTAACTTTTATAAAGCAAAACTAAAAGCAAAAATAAAAATTGCCTGACAATAGCAAAATGGGACAGTAGAACTGATAAAATGTGGTATATTTATGTAACAGAATATATATATTCTTTGGAAA